TGTGTTGTGTGTGTTGTGTGTGTTGTGTGTGTTGTGTGTGTGTTGTGTGTGTGTGTAGACGATCAACATCTATGAACAAGTAAAACATAGCTCATCATAGCTCCACTTTCTCAAACACAATGCGCACATTGCGCACATTGCGCACATTGCGCACATTGCGCACATTGCGCACATTGCGCACATTGCGCACATTGCGCACACGTCCGAGTCCATGATGTGGTCGATGTGTCCATCGCCCCGGTCCTCCATCCAGTTGACAGAGAAGAGATCTCCCAGGCAAGAGCCAATGTTCTTGCCCTTCACCATGGCTGCATCACCTTTGATCTTTAAATTCTTTAAATATGGGACGATATATCGATGATTTTTGATGGCTCAAAGGTTGATCAAAATGCTCCGGAAAATTCCTTCGACAATCAAAGAGAAGGTTATGATGTTGTATATGTCGTAAGTGAGATAAAATTGTACAGTCCATAAAAATCCTTGGCCATAACCCATGTTGTACAAAGAGGGGACGCACGACCCAGGCATACACAGCGCTTGGAACCTCAGTGGGGCGTACTGCAAGGCTGCGGCTTCCCACTTGGGTCCAGACCACAATAGGTGCCCCAAGATGATTCCTGTCTTCGATGCGGGAGCTTTCTAGGCGGAACATGCAGGATATGCAATCAGCAAAAATGCGTTAAAACACGATAAAACCAGATAAGACATTATAAAACATTATAAAACCACCCTTTCAGAAGTGCACCGCATTTGCCACCAGCCAATTCAGAATCGACGCAATATCGACGCTGCTTTCGGGTTGAAGATTCGATTGAATCCGGTCATCATCCGGTCATCATCCGTCATCATCCGTCATCATCTGCCATGCTCCGCCGTCATCCTTCATCCTTCCATCATCCGTCGTGAGTCGTGAGTCGTCCTCCTCCTCATCATCACCCAGTGCAGTTGCATGTCCCACACCCACAGCCCGAACACTGTGACCACACCTGGCCGTTGGACGCGGTCACCGCCAGAATCTTTCCATCCGCCTGCAGATCTGGGAACATGGAGCCGCTTTCGCATGCCTCCTGAGGTGCCGCCGCAAAACGGGCGCAGAGCTTGGGGCGTCGACTGCACTTGTGCTATGCTGTGGTGCTTCTGATGTTTCAAGCCCTTGGCCGCCACCCTTCAAGCCACAGTACATTCAATGTTTACCTATGTCATCAAGGATACGCAATGAACTTCCATCACGCATCCTATCTGCCAGCCTGTTAGATTTCTCGTGCCTTCAGCATTGTCCACGAACAGATCTTGTAAGCACCGGTGAAAGCTGCAGAATCAGCCAAGATTCCATGTAAAAGACCAGCTGCTTGAACATCTTCTTGCTCTGCATGGTCTTCAAAGTCTTGGACAAATCCTCTGGCTGAGAGTCCAGGAGTGTCCAAAGATCATGAATAATTCAGTGTACATGAAAGAAATATAAAAGAAATAAGTGAACAGTTCTCAAAAAAAAACGACAAATGAAGATTCCGAAGCCCTGTTGGTACCTTCGGATTGCGGTCATGCTCCGAGCTAAATCGTCGCGTTTGGGCTGGCCTAGGGCTCTGGATCCACTACAGTGTCCTTGACGTGCAAGAAGGGGCCATTGGGGAAAGCCACAATGCCAGGACCTGCTGCAACTTGGTCACCGGAGCCGTAGCCGTTGCCATTCCCAACAGTCTCAACAACGCATTTTTGGATGATATTCGACGCTACCTGTACTTGATTTAAATTGTGATAAATTGCGTAAGATTCATTCAGATTCCATGACTATGATTCTGATGTGATTATTTATCATTATTTTTCTATATCACTATATCTATCTATATAGTAATGCACAGGATTGGACGAACCCCTTGGATCAGGCCCTAGGCCTGATTGATGTATATATATATATATAAATAAAAGTCATCCCTAGGCCTGATGCCGACGTGCCACACGGCCTCCATGGTCCACAAAATTCACAAAGACGGTGTCTTCCTCTGTGCTCTTCAGGACCTACGAAAGTCTGGAAATTGGATGAAGTTGGTGACAGACTGGTGACATCTGGTGACTGGAAATATCCGTCCAGAAATTCTGGCAACATCTTGCAACAATCTGCAAGGAAAATCAATCATCACCGTCTTTTTCCGTCCTTGCCCTTAGCGCCGGTAGTGTTGCTGGTGAGCACATCCAGGAAAAGCTGGGCCGTGACGATATCGCCCGAGTAGTCAACCTTGCACCCCTTGTAGACCTCGGCAACCATGGGCAATTTCCATCAATTTCCCACAAAGGGTGGCCCAATTTGTCCGGGTCACATCTGGGGAGTCGTTGCCCGGCTTGTTGAAGAGCTGGCCGGGGAAGGGATTTTCCGAAGATTTTGCAACATCATCCTGTCAGATTTGCCCAAGTCAGATTTGCCCAAGCCAGCTAAGCCAACCCCTTTAATTATGTTCCCACCCAAACATTTGAATTCCGGTGGCTCGTGCGAGGTGCAACAAACAGCAGCCAGCAACTGGCAGTCCTGCATCATGAGGATGATATTCTCAGCCTTCACTCCGCTTTTGAGCATGATCTGGTACGCATGGCATGCATCTGCCTGATGCCTGTAATTCATAAAGCCTCGCAGCGGCTAGTGTTCGTCCCATTTCGTCCCATGTATGAGAGTTCGTGGAGTGGACTGCTGCACATGAAGCTTGCAAAAGGCGATGCCACAAATTCCATCTTTGCGCGTACATCTTTCCGGCGCGCTGCAACATTGAGCATAAAATAGCAAAGAGTTTCTACAAACATCCTTTCACACATACTGCAATGGAACCACTTGACCCATTGAAATCCCATGACCTATGGATCAAGATTTGACAACATGATTATACCCATTGAATCCCATTGATAACAGTTTAACACCTTACATCTTGATGCAGTCCAGGAGGTGCAGCTCCCGCCTTGTGAGCCGGCCGCGATGACAGCCCACTTCTCGGCCAGGGCCAGTGATGGCAAGAGCATGGCGAGTGCAATGGCAGCCATGGCCTGTCGGAAAGGATGGGAAAGGGTATGCCGCAATGCCGATGGATGCCGTATGCCGAAATCACTGGAACTTTGTCAGAAATCCGCGTAAGATGTGTTTGGGAAGGGTTGGCCTCCAAATCGAAATCGAAGCAGAAGTGGGAGATTTGAGCACACGGTGGCTGCCGTAAGATGAAGACATACAGCCAATGGAGACGACTGGATTATGTTGGATTATGTTGGAGTACGTTGTGGGTTCATCATGATTCATCCACCCGACACTTCCATCGTTTGGGCGTTTGAAATTTGTTGAGATGGATCATGATCCTTGAAGCTTGGGGTCCACGTACCAGTTCCACCAGCAGCAGCACTGGTGGCAGGCGGTCTTTTTTGGGCGGTGCAGTGATCTCGGTAAGCAATTCGAGACTCAACAACCGCTAGCTCGTTGGTTTCCTTTCAAGCGGTGTCACGTGGTCACGTGGGCATGTAAAGGCCAACCGCCTGGAACGGAGCATTGCTTGGCACCACGGAGCGGGATCACATCCATTTCGAAACTGTAAAGTCTTCACCCTGTCCAGCATGGAGCACGTCTGCCTTGAACCTCAGGAATTTCAACAGTTCCGGCTTCACTAACAGCTTGACCAGCGTGCTGCCATTCGGCGCGTGCCTGCTTGTTTGCATCATTGCGGCCCTATCGTGGCGTCACAGGTCTCGGCTGGCCAGCCTTACGAAGCCGTCTGGCCTGTCTGACATTTAGAACTGCTGATGACATAACTGGGCCACTCTCCGAAGCCTGCAGAGGCTGAGAGCTTTCCAGCTGCTCAGGTGAGGGCTGAGCAGCATCTTTGTCAGCTCGTTCCAGGAGCACCTCTTGCTTGGGTGCCTCAGCAGCCAGCGAAGCCTTGTGTTCAGGAATTTTATCTTCCTCACCTCGGACTTTCCCATCTTTGACATCTGCCCCAAGCTGCTGTTGCTGTTGCCCCTCTTGCTCGGGTGCGGATGGAGTTGGTTCCTGTCCAACTGCTGGAGCAAGTTCCTTGCCAACTGCTGGTTCAACTTGTGCCTGTTGCTTATGAATTTCTTCAACAGCAGATGGGGGAGCCACTTCCTTTTGGGCCTTGTTTTCTGCACCTCCGGCTTTGGCGTCCTTGTCACCCTCCGGACCTCCTTGACTTTCAATTCCTGGCCGGGGAGGCTCTGGCTGAGGCTGCTGTTCGTGCTGCCTCTTTTGCTCAGGCGCGGGAAGAGCAGCTTCCTTGCCAACTGCTGGATCAACTGGTTTCTTTTGCTCAGAAGCTGCTGCAAAAGCAACTGAGGAAGCCGCCTCTTTGGGGGCGACATCTTTGGCATCCTTGGGATCCTTGGTCTGTGCTTGACTTTCAACTCCTTCCTCAGGACGATCTGCCTGAGGCCGCTGTTGCTGCTGCCCCTTTTGCTCAAGCGCGGCTGGAGCAGGTTCCTTGGCAACTACTGGTCCAACTGGTGCTTCGGCAGTTGTTTCAAAAGCAGCTGGCGAAGCCACCTCTTTGGTGGCTTTGCTTTCTGCACCTCCGGCTGTGACATCTTTGACATCCTTGATATTTGCTTGAATTTCAATTCGCTCTGCCTGGGGCTGCTGTTGCTGCTGTCCTTTGTGCTCAGGCACGGCTGGAACTGCTGGTTCAACCTGTGCCTTTTGCTTATGAATTTCTTCAACAGCAGATGGGGGAGGCACTTGCTGGGGGGCTTTGTTTTCTGCACCTCCAGCTTTGGCGTCCTTGGCACCCTGGGCCCCTGGCTGAGGCTGCTGTTGCTGCCTCTTTTGCTCAGGTGAAGGAGGAGCAGCTTCCTTGCCAACTGCTGGTTCAACTGGTTTCTTTTGATCAGCAATCGCTACACCAGCAGCTGGGGAAGCCACCTCTTCGGTGGCTTTGTTTTCCGAACCTCCTTTGACATCTTTGGCATCTTTGGGGTCCTTTGTCTCTGCTGCTTGAATTTCAACTCCTTCCTCACGATGATCTGCATGAAGCTGCTGTTGCTGCTGCCCCTTTTGCTCAGGCGCGGCTGCAACTGCTGGTTCAACTGGCTTCTCTTGCTCAGCAGTTGCTGCAAAACCAACCGGGGAAGCCACTTCCTTGGAGGCTTTGTTTTCTGCACCTCCAGCTTTGGCGTCCTTGGCACCTCCTTGACTTTCAATTCCTGGCTGGGGAGGCCCTGGCTGAGGCTGCTGTTCGTGCGGCCTCTTTTGCTCAGGCCCAGGAGGAGCAGTTTCCTTGCCAACTGCTGCTTCAACCGGTTTTTTTTGCTCAGCAGCTGCTGCAAAAGCAACTGAGGAAGCCACCTCTTCAGGGGCTTTCTTTTGCGCACCTTCATTGGAGCTTTGAATTCCTTCGTGTTCTTTAAGGCCCCCGGCTGGTGTGCTGAGGGAAGAGCGTTTCATACTGGGGCTGGTAGAAGCAGCGAGGGGGGGCCGCAGATTCATGGGCTCGCTCTCTGGCACTTCCCTCTGCTCCTGGCTCTGCCCATGTCTTGAAACAGGGACTAATATCGGATGGCAATTGCTGTGCTCTAAGTCAGGAGAGTAAATGCTGCTCACTCACATCCACTCGACATGTATATTGGGCTGGCTGCGGGCTGAATGCGCTTTGCTCGTTCATACACAGACTTGGTTGATCTTCCAACGTTCTTCCTCTAAGATCTAGAAGGCTCTACAAATCGCGAGAATTTCCCAAAAAATCACAGATGAAGGCTGCTGCGTCCTTCCGCAGCGCAAAGGGCGGCAGAGCTTCTGCGTGCACTAGGCGATTCGCAGTGGGCGACGGCGAGCGACTGGTAGGCTCTGGACTCACATCCTACCCAGCTGGGCTGACCCCCAAATGCAGGAGTTCCAACAAGTTCCAGCTTGAGGTATCTCCAAGAACGATGAGGAATGCAATAAAGATAATTTTTAAGTTACAATTTAGGTCATGTCCAATTCTCAGACACTGTCAGAACCGGTGCCTAAACATGCCAAAACAGGCGCATGATTGATGATTGAAAGAAAATCCAGCCGATAAAAACCTCGAAAATTCTGGCAGTTGTCCCGCGCCAAATGCTGCTCTGCCTGAAGCTGGGCCTGAAGATCACTGAGCCGCCATAAGAGGCTTCCAATCGGCTCAGCCTGGCAAGTCTGAGAGATGGGTCTTCCCCCTGCAAAAATATCAGGCCAAGCCTCAGGGACTTCGCTTTGCACATGCAGAGCGACCTCCGGGATCGCCTGTCATGAAAGCGCTCCACTGGACTGCATCATAAGGGTGCTCATGAAATGTCGTCCCTGAGTGACACACCTCTAATCTTTCAGGTCTGACTCAGTCATTTACTATCATTTAATAGCGTCCAGGTCATTTCAGGATCTGATTGACGCCACCATTGGGTTTGCCACCTTCAGTTTGGCAACAATGGCGTCAAACCTTTGAAAGCGCCTTGGGCCGCGACAGCAACAAGACTGGCAAGAAATTGGGGATTGATGTCATGGGGCCATCAGTACTGGCTTAGGCTAACCCCAGCGGACTCAACAGTTTCAAGACAACTGTGATCAAATGTGGTTCTCTTGGCAAACCAAACCCCATGCCAGAACATCACGTACTACTGTAGTTGTGCATGCAAGCTGATGGGGTTGTCTAATTCATCGTCATCCTGGTCGTTGCAGACTTTATGGTTATTGCACCCTTGGAAAACACACAACAATTGATCGATGGCCCAAACACTACCAAGAAAGATCAAACATCTTTGAAGAGCCATGAGCAAAGACCTAAGCTAATAGCTCTTCAAAAGCCTCATGAGCCGCAGACCTTAGGTCGGCTGTGGTCAAGGTCTTTGCTGGATCAAGGGACAATGTCTGCGAACCTGCGGAAAAAACCGTGAGGAATGAATGAAAATAACTAATTCTTAATTCATGTAATTATGCGGTTTTCATTTTGGAAGAAGACATTCCAAAAACATTGGCCCTAATCACGGTTCCCTGGTTGTTTTTTTTGCCAAAACTGTATCGGACTGACTTTCATCCGCAGCCTGACAAGGGCCTCTGGAAGCTTCTCTCAGCAACAGAGCTCTCAACAATGGACGACTATACAACTGAAACTCGGGCATCTTTAGCCCCAGATGGGTAGCAGCCCTTTCAGGATATCGCAGCGCGACTGGAGACCTTCAGGTGGACCTCACGCACTTGTCGCTGTCAGAGGGATGGTAGCTGGAGAATCTTACGCACACCGCTGAGATACAAATGAATACATACACGCAACCCACACGCACTATAATATATATTATATATATAATTTATATATATATAATATAATTAAAATTATACATAAATATTATATATTATATATATTATATATATAATTTATATATATATAATATAATTAAAATTATACATAAATATTATATATTATATATATTATATATAATATATATAATATATATAATATATATAATATATAATATATATATAATATATATATATATAATATATATAATATA